CCCAAGCGATCTCCTCCGCGTCCCCGGGGCGCTCCGCGCGGGCTCGGGTCCCGGCAGCGGGTGCACTCAGCGCTCTGCCCTCCGGTGCCCGGCGCGTCTCTGCTCCATCCCAGCCCAGCGCTGCCGCTCTGCTGCAGTGAAACCCCTCCCACTCGCCAGTCCCTCCTGCTGGCTTGGACTGCGATGACAAAGTCAACCCGACCCTCTCCCTCGTCTCCTGGCCCTGCGCTCCCGTCCCCACCCCTCCCGCAGCCGCCTGGGTCCCGGGAGCTCCGGCCCAGGGCGGCCCCTGCTGGACAGTGAGATTTGCAAGTGCCCGGCTGGGCTGAGGACTCCTGCTGGTGCCTGCTCTCGCACTGCGCCTTCACGTGGTGCGCTCGTCTCACGTGGAGGAGACACAGCCGGTGGAAAGCTTGCATTCCTTTCTGTAGAAGCCCTCTCTTGTGCGCTTTCCTCCTCAGAGTGCCCTGGGCCTTTCCATTCACCGAGGTCCCAGGACAGCTGCTTGTCTGCCTTGCATTTCACATTTTTTTCTGGTTCATCTGGTCAGATGCAGTGTCTTGGGCGCACGGGGCACGGTATCGAACTCAGCTGACCACCTGCTGTTCACCAATCGGCCGAGATCATTGCGGTACTCTGTTTATGTCTAATAAGTGTTCAAACAGCCAGATGCACTACCGGTCATTACCGCTGCACTGTTTGCCTGGTGAACTGAATGCATTAAAGGACCTTCCTGAAGGAGGGAACGAATCACTGTCCAGAGGAAAATGCCATTGCTCTGTATCAGAGGCTTCTTCTTTCCAATGCGGTCTCCCACCCAGGAGCGCGTGGAGAGTTTGGGGAAAGAGAATCTTGAGTCCCATATGTGGAGAGACTGGTGACGAAAACAGAAGACTCATCTTGGCAGGTTGAAGATGTTTCTGGAAATAGGATTGTGCATAGAACCTGGCACATTTCCCCTACTTTTTATTCATTTGAGTCCATGTTTCGAGAAGGTCCCAGGCCGGCCATCTTCCATTCCCCTCCTGGCTTTGCTTTTGGCTTACTGGACTTGGCCACCGTTTTTCAGCGGCTTCAGTACTTGGGATCTCCTCACCCTTGGAATCTCCCTCCACCATGCTGGCCCCATTCTCCTATGGGTGAGGTGGGATGTGGGGAGCTTCATTTTATGCGTGCCCTAGGCTAGTTATTCTTCATTCCCCTCCCTGCTTTGTTTTTGGCTTTTCAACTTGGATGCCATGCCCCCCGTGGTGGTACCTACCCCCCCCACCCTCTTTAAGCTCCCTTTTGTGTGCTTTCTCCCATTAGTGCAAGGCTCTTGAAGGACAGTGGCTGTATTCCCCACTCTTCCCCCCTTGTATTTGTATCTCCGGTATGCAGCAGAATGCCCGGCCTTTAGTAAGTACAAATTCTCATAGCCTTGCCTTTAACGTCACCTTCATTCTCCCCCGCAAAAAAATATCCCACCCCTCCCCCATTCAGAGCCATCCTTTGTAAAATAAAAGGGAAAAAAAACCCCGAGCAAATCAATAAAACCAGTAAGTTCATCAATCAAGTCCATCGGCATAAGCCATATATAGTCCACATCCATAGTCTCTCTTCTGTAAAGAAAATAGGAAAGTACAGTCTCATATTTCTTCTTTGGCTCAGACTTGGTCATTAACATTATGTGGCATCAGCTTTGATTTTTGTGGCCTTTTTCTGTTTATCTTTTTTGGTTCTGCTGACTTCACCTTGTATCCATTCCTAAGTCTTCCTGTGCCTCCTTGCCTTCTTCATATTCATCATTTCTTACATCATTTGTATGTACCATATTTATTTTGACATTCACCCATCAAAGGACACTTACTTTGTTTCCAGTTCTTTGCTTCTATAAAAAGTATTTCTATAATTATTGCAGGACATCTGGGACCTTTCTATCTTGGATCTTCCATGGTCATGTCCAAAGGACTCCGGACCTTGTCATCTGCCACTACATCTTAAGGACCACATGGCCTTGCCATCTGCCCTGAATCTGAACTCTGCTATATGCGTTGTTTCCTCTAATAAGAATGAGAACTCCCTTAGCTCATGGGCTGTTTCATTTTTTCTATTTGTATTCCCAGAGCCAGGCACTTAATATACACTTTTCCATTCCATTGGGTATATTATGGCTTTACTGTGAAATCTCTAGGTTAAAGTTTATGAGCACTTTCTTAGCCTAATTCCAAATTGCTTTCCAGAATGATTGCACCAATCCAGAGCTCTATACAATGCATCAATTAGTGTTCCTGTCTCTCTCCAGCCCCTCTGATATTTAATACTCCATTATTTTTTTCTGAGTAATCTTTGACAATTTACTAGGGATGAGCTGAATCCTCAAAGTCATTTTGATTTTCATTTATTATTAGTGACTTGGAGCCATCTTTTATATAGTCATTAGCAGATCACACAGTTTTTGAAAACTTTTCGTATTCTTTGTTCTCTTATCTGATAGGGAATGGTTTTTGGTGTTAGAAGTTTGTATCAGTTTCTTATGTATTTTAGTTAGCTGATTTTTATCAGGGATGTTTGAATGAAGATCAAATCTATTACTTCTATGCTTATCTTAGATACATTGATTTTGTTCTTGCAAAACTTAAAAAATTGTATGTTTAACAGAGGTTCAAGGGTTAGCCCCTAGGAACTGTATGCACCATCACTTTCACTTTTCAGTCACTCCTAGTGCCTGCTACTTGACTCATTCTCATATTTAATCCCATCATCCTGAGTTATAGAATAATCCAGGAGTATGTTTAGGCATTTGCTTATTAATTAATACAGTTTCAACATCTTTTACAGCTAATAAAATAAGCTCAGAGACCCACTTTAGGTCATCAGATGTTAAGTAATATGGAGAAAACTTCTTTTCTGTAAGTAGTTATGCCTATTTCTATATATTAAAATCCTGACTCTCTCTGGATTAAATAAATAAAAATTAACTAATTAAATTAATAGCTTACTAATTAAACATTCAATTAATTAACAATTCAATAAACACCAAACACAAACAAATGGGAGAGGGGTGGAATTTTTTTGGGGGTGGGGATGAAGGTGACATTAAAGGCAAGGCTATGAGAATTTACACTTCCTAAGGGCCAGGCATTCTGCTGCATACTGGAGATATAAATACAAGGAGGGTAGGGGTGGGGCATACAGCCACAGTCCTTCAAGACCCTTGCACTAATGGCAGGTGGAGAAAGATATCATTACAAACTGTATTATTATAACTTCAGATGTGTTCTCTTCACTTCTGGAAAAAGTCCAACAATGTTTTGTTCATTTGTCTTACCAAAGAAAATCTCATTGCAAGAATTCTCTTCAACCTCTTCAAAAGATAAAGGTTACAATAGTTTTCTAAGGAAAGAATATCCTTACATTTTCTCTGTCCTTTCCAGCTTCTCTCCAGTCAGGACAAGAAAATAAAATCTCTCCAGCTTCTCTCTAGGTATCACTCTTAAAACTCCTATCTCCAGACTTGGTCTTTACAAAATTGTCTTCATAATATCTCTTTATCAAAGAACAGTTGACAGTTTTTCCAAGACAATTTTTCTTAACTTTTTTTTTTCTTTGCCATTTCCATTGGCTCTTTCTTCTTAGTGGATACAAAGACTGACAGCCCAAACTGCAGAATCCTACACATTCTATTCAGTCAATCAGTCAATAAACATTTTTATGCACCTACTATGTGCCAGACAATGTGCTCAGTCCTGTGGATTCAAAAAGAGGCAAATGATGACTCCACCCCCTCAAGGAGCTTATAATGTAATGGAGGAAACAATGTACAATCAAATACATGCAAAGCAGGCTATGTACAGGCTATATAGGAAATAATCAAGAGAAGGAAACCACTAGATTTAAGAGGGATGGGGAAAGCTTTTGGTAAAAGATGGAATTCTAGTGACTTCCACAGGGGAGATTTGAGAAAGAAGTTATGGGGCAGGTAGGTGGCACAGCAGGTAGGACACTGACCCTGGAGTTAGGAAGACCTGAGTTCAAATTTGGCCTCAGATACATAACAGGAATTAGCTGTGTGACCCTGGGCAAGTCAATTGCCCAATAGCCCTCATCAAAAAAAAAAAGTTACACATATAATCAAAGCTACTTGTTTTCTAGTCCTTGTTTGATTAAGGATTCTCCCCTAGTTCACTATGTGTGCCACTTATTTTGTTTTCTTTCAGTTTTTTTTTAAAGTAGTATGAACTTATGGTATATTTGGTGTAAGTTGTCAGTCCAAACCTAGTTTCTGTCAAATGTTACCATTTTTCTTAGTAATTTTAGCCCATTAGTAAATTCATCCCTAAGTGATCTGTATTCTTGAATTTATTGAACACTAGGTAAAATTAATTGATTATAAATCATCATTATCTAGTCTGTTTTACTGATCTGCTTTCATGGAGTTGATGTTGTTTTTGAAACCAGTACCAAAGAGTTTTGATGACTATTGATTTATGTAATTGGAGATCTGGAAGCGGTAGTCCCCTCTCTAGACCGTTGATTCATTCTTGAATTTTGTTATTTTATTATTTTAAGCATTCTTTTGGCAGTTTAATTGGTATAACATTAAATCAGAAAGTTAATTTGGGTATAATTTTTAAAACTGTTGCAGCCTAGTCATTAGCACTGAATATACCTCCAGTTATTTAGATCATTCTTTATTTCTTTGAGGTGTGTTTTAATTGTAACTATGTAGTTTTTGAGTGTGCCTTGGTAGTTTGACTTTCAGATATTTTACGTATTTTGTAATTGTTTCAAATGAGACTTCCGTTTTCTATTATTTTCTCCTGGGTTTAATTATTGCTATGTAGAAATGATATTGATGAAGGTATTTTCTTAGCTTAGCTTCTTTGCTGATTCTCCAGTATTTCCTATGTAAACTGTGATGTCTTCAACAAATGGTTGTTTTATCTTTGACTACACATACACCTTTAATTTCTTTTTAAACTGTTGCTAGGATCTTAAGAACTATATCAAATAACAAC